GGATCTTGATAAAGAAGTCAGGCGTGTCTATAGGAGGCTGATATTTATGAGTTAGAGCAGTTCGCTTCGGCTGAATTTTGGTTTATGTTTATGTGACTGCAGATGCTGTTTGATTAACGGTCTCCCAGTTTCAGCCCAGATATTATTGTTTTCCTGAGTCATCATTACTGTAGTTGTGGGTTATTATCATTCTTTCCATGGTCTCACCTGCCCTCGACATGAGACACACAGCAACATACAGGTAAACACAAAAGAGGAGCATAGAGTTTCTTAGTCAGACTTCTGCAGACGCAGGTATCAGGAATGATGAAACTGTATTTGACCTTTTTAAGACTACAACTTTAAAATTACAATAACAAATGGAACTAAAAGTAAAGGAAATAATCAATAAACTATGAACAAACTCTTAGAAATAAACCAAAAAGGCAGAAGTGATCAATTAACCTGGGAGACATCAATGTACCCGTCCCCAGAGACTCCTCACATGGGGCTCAGCTGGAGAATCACTGTAACTCAGCTTTAAAACACTTTATCTGCCCGGACGGCCATGTTGGGACATGTTTTTTTTTTTTTTTTAAAGCATGAAGGAATCAATGGGACTCGTCTGTTGTCGGGTCTCTAAGCTGTCGGCTGGTGTCCTGTTTCTGCAACAGGCAGCTGATGATGGGGGAGCTTTGTCTGTCAGACCTGCATCTGACCGAGCAGTTAATCCTCCACAATCCACGAAGATTACAGTAATTCAGGCCTGAGTTTCAGCCGCTTCGCTGCACAACACGGCACCACGGATACAATTATGAGGAGAAATAAACCCGGATGGTAAATATTAGTCTTGGAATTGTCTCTGAATTGTGCGTAAACCCATCAAATGAATCTTTCATAGCTCTGGCCTGAAGATTTATTGTGACACGTTTGAGTGTTTCCTTGAGAATAAGTGTTTTTCTAAAATATGATGATGTCGGTGCTTTTAATATTCTTGTTGTCCGTGCAGCAGCTACAACTTGTCTGTGTTTGGAACACATGCAGAGTTCAGTCCGTCCTCTGGAACGCTGCATTTCTTCCTTGGATTTCTGCTTCACTGGGTTTAATATATTTCTGTCTCGGTCTCCCTCAAATTTCATTAAAGCGACAACGATGCTCAACAACATTAAGTGAATAATTTAAAACCCAAGACTCAACGTTTCAGATGGAAGAAATAAAATGGATCACCGACGAGGAGCATTAGCATTAGCATTCATATTTCTTATCTGTAATTGAAACTGTAATTAACTGACCTCTTCTACAATATTGCACTTGATTATTTGAGCTATTTTTAATGTAAAATGTTTGATTTGTGCAAATTAATATTATATCTATTGTTATATTATCTATTTTAAAGTATTGTGCAAAAGATATGAGTTTAAAACAGCAGCTTAACTGTTGAATTTATTCTCTAACTTCGTGCACGTGTCTTTCTTTCTTCATGTAAACACGTTTAATCTGATTTTCTCCCAGACTCTTCCTCCATTTCCTGCTCCTCGTGTTCCTCAGGTATAAACCTCGGCTCTGTTTCCCTGAACACAATGAGCGGCTGATTAGAGCAGTGGAGGAAAGGGAAGATCGAGAGAGATACACGGAGAGGACGAGACGGAGGATAAACAGACGGTGATGGTGTTTGGTTAAAGGAAGGAAGGTTTGAATCCAGATGTTTGATAGTGAGAGGAGGAGAATCCACACATCTGGATCCAGGGTTTTATATAAAGTATTTATGCTGTCGTTCTTGGTCACGAGCATCAACAGTAAAGCAGTTGGTACCTTATTTATTTTTACTGACGCCTCTACTTCGTGTCAGTAAAATATAAAAACAAAGAACGATCTGATCTTTCATATTATATATATCTCAGGGTTAAAATCTAACTTGTCTTCCATAATGGCTGAACTTCTTGTACTGACAGAAGCTGAACTAAGACTCTATCAAGAGCAACATGACTGTGGCAATGAAACAGGGAGTGTGTGTGTGTGTGTGTGTGTGTGTGTGTGGGGGTGTGAGGTTGTGTGGAGGTGAACCATCTAGAATAACGTTGTGTGTACTTTTTTTCAACCCCCAGATGATTTAGTGGCTGAGGTTACAGGATTTAGCCCAGAATGTGTGTGTGTGTGTGTGTGTGTGTGTGTGTGTGTTGATGTGTGTGTGGGTGTGTCCCACTCCTGCAGTTCTGCTGAACCTCTGTATTTCGGTGCCACAGCGATGTGCTGGTTTGATATTTTTCCTTGGATAAACATTTGTGACTGTGGAGCAGATGATTATTTCTTCTCTGGAAACACACAAACAAATATGTTTAATAGAAATAAAATACTTCTCCTTGGAAACATGCACAAAGTGTGCGTACACGTATTTCTTCAAATATAAATTAAAATCTGACTGGTATCCAGTATATGAGCCAATAGCTGTGTAAACAGTCTTTAATGACTTGTCTTCAAACTGTTCTGTTGTCCCAGCAGTCCCATGTCTCCCACTCTGACCCAGCAGTGTTAATGAGCGTCCATTAGGGCCAAAGAGAAAACACATGAACATTCCTCCCTCGTCTGTCTTTGTTTTCTCCTCTGCCTCCGCCTGTGTTTGTCTTTCCCAGCAGCAGCAGGAAGTGAAACCCAGCAGCGTTGTCAATCATTGTCCAAGTCCGTCACAGATCAAGAGGAGGACGTGTTACTCGTACAGATGTTCAGGTGGTAGATATCGAGAGTGGAAAAGTAATAAAATACTAATTACAGGCCCAGAAACAACAAATCCATCTTGGTTTTACTTGAACAATTGATCAGGAACCAAACTGTTGTTTTTAAATAACAAGAAATCAAAGTAGAGGACGTTCTGGTCCAAACCAGTTTCATTTAAAAGTGTTGTCGGGATCTAGTGTTGTGGAAATTTAACTTTTTAATCTTTAGGAATTTAGACATTTCCCCAAATTCTGCATCAAACACAGTAACTTTGTTGCAGCGTTCTCGTGTGCACGCTCCTCGTGCTGCAGATTCAGTGCAGCTGATTGAATTGACCGGTGATTATATTACTGAGTCAGCGCTGCAGTTCAAAACACTGAGAACCGTCTCTGTGTGGACACTAACGAGGTTTGATGGACCAGACTGACGTCAAACTGTCTCTGCTGCTTGGTTCGTTGCAGCTTTATTACTGGAATCCAGTTCGTTTATTTATTAGAGATGCTGTTGTACATTATTTTATGTTGGTAAGAGATTTATGTTGATGCTTATCTGATGTATCTTCTGAGAGCACGGGCCGAGAAGCACATTACACAGACCCAGCGGTGGAAGACATGTTTGTATCATTAATTTAATCAGACAAGTCACTGAAGCTGCATTTTATTTTATATTTTACTTTTATTTGACTGCACTCTAAACTCTAGATTGTAGTGAAGCTGTACTTAAGTGCAGAGGTTGAGTAAATATACTCAGTTTCTTTCCACCACTCTACGTTACTATGCTATAAAAGTAGTAGTGGTGGTAAATGAAGTTGTGGTATTTTTTGGTGCACGTTAACTCTCCAACACAAACTGACAGGAGGGCGTCCCTGCTCTAGTGTTACAGTACAGACCAGTGGAGTAAATGCCTCCCATTCATTGGATGACTGCCCCGAGAGATCACTTTCACTGTGGTCGCTGACTCAGGTGTGTGTGTGTGTGTGTGTGTCTGTGTGTGTGTGTGTGTGTGTGTGTGTGCTTTAAAGCGTCGCACACAAACAACTCCACCCTGAACGTACACATCTGCACCAACAACTCGGTGATTCAACCCAGGACTGTATAATGTGATGAGTGTAAATAAAAGAGATTTTTTTTTTTTTAATTCCTCAACATTTAAACTTCCTGAACGTCCCTTTGGATCAGTAAAGTAAGAATCCATTTTATCTCTCGAACCTTTTCCAGGCTTCAGTTTTATATTTTCTAAAATACTCTGCAGCCGTAACGCACCAGCTTCTCTGAGTCCAGCTGCAAACGCACACACACATTTATTTTCAATCACTGTACTCAGCACGACTCAGCTCTATTGGAGGGTGTGGATGAAATGTGCTGAGCTCATCCCCCTCACACTGGATCAGTGTTGACGAGGCAGACTGCTCCAGATGAGACACAAACACCGACGTCGGCTTGATCACGACCACAGAGGACACATTTCAACTGGGATAAACTCGAGATGACATTGGAATCTTCAAAAGTCCTTTGAAACCCGAGAGGACAAATAAAGTCTCTGTCTTTGTTTTAAAGGGACAAGAGGACGTCTCGGTTTCGTCTCTGCAAATAGCGGCCAGATATATTTTCACATTCAAACAAAAAACACAGCTGCGAATACAAATACCACAAAACTTCATGGTACATTTCATGGTAATTTATCAATCCACACACACACACACACACACACACACACTCACAGATGCATGATATTTCCAGCCTGGTAGAGTCTCTAAGAACATGAACCAGCCACACACACACACACACACAGCTGTCTTCTGAAACCACACACACAACCAAACACTACTCTTGGTGCATGATGCATTATGGGTATATCTGCGTGTGTGTGTGTGTACAGACTTGGCGTTTATATGAAAACACAAAGTAATGTGAAACTTCATACACGTGTGTTGTTATCTCACAGTGTCAGATTCAATCACATGTTTCAATTAACGAATGATTCGTAATCAACTAACTTGTCTTTTGTTTGGTTTTTTATTAATGGATCTCGTTGTCGTGGTGTTTCCTCATAAACACTGTTTGTACTGAAACATCAAACCAGTGGTCAAAATATTAGACTCCAGCGCCCCCCTGTGGTGAAGCACAACACTACAGCAGAGGGATTTCTATAAGGAGATTTCTCTTATAAAAGCCAGAATGAAAATATCAAACACTAGGAAATATGTTGATGGATACAAAAATACAAGAAGCCAAAAAGACCTTAAAGTTAGGGGAAGTAAATCACACACACACACACACACACACACACACACAGGGGGGTGTACTCACATGCAGCTGTGTGTTGTTGTTGAGCTGATCCTGGCTGATGTGCGACGCTGCAGGTTGACAGTCCAGTGACACTCTGTCCCGACACGTAGCGTGACACGTGTATTTACACCCTGCACAGAAATAAACTGATTAATTTATAAATCTATTAAAAGAGAAAACAGAGGAGAGGGGGGGGGGGGTCTTTGTGGTTGTAAAAGGATTTTCTGGGAGGTACGTGCAGATATTCTCACACACACACACACACACAATTCAACACAACTTTTGAATGTTCGTGTTGATATCAAGAGATTATTTGCATGTTCGTTACACACACAGCTCAGAGTTAATCTGAAAACCAGCATCATGCAAATTGTCACCAGTGATACAGCACCGGGCAATAAACTGAACGAACCCGAAGGTTTCACGACAAGAGACGACGAAACCATCTTCAAAAGACTAATAAAGAAAGTTTAAACGAGAAACTTTGTGAAAGATTCATCCTGTTACTGCACATTAAACACACACACACACACGCACACACACTAAACGAGGTTCGCAACAACTCAGCAGAACCACAAACTATTTAAATAACTGCCGTAGAAGAGGAGGAAGCTCAGCAACAAACATTTTACACTCAGTGTGTGTGTGTGTGTGTGTGTGTGTGTGTGTGTGTGTGTGTGTGTGTGTCCTCACATCGTCCTACCTGTGGACCTCTTTCTAACGTGCTGTCCGACTTTATCCGACAGTTTGCAGATGGCTGCTCCCATCGTCATCTCACACACACTCAGTGTCCTCATTAAGATCTATAACGTTACATCTCCACTTCTTCTACACACTCACACACACAAAACACACACAGGAGTAAACTAAACACACACCGACACACTGTCCTCTCTCTCTCTCTCTCTCTCTCTCTCTCTGCAGTCTTTTTCAGCCTCTCTCGGCCGTGCTCTGCTCCACATTCAGTCTCGGTCAGACTCCAGATGCTGATTTGCGTAGCCACCATTCACCCTGTGTGTGTGTGTGTGTGTGTGTGTGTGTGTGTGTGTGTGTGTGTGTGAGAGAGTGTGTGTGTTGTGCTGAGTGGGTGATTTAACAGTCAAATGGAGGCCACAGTGTGATGGACACACAGGCAGGAGAGGAGGGAGGGAGGTGGGACTGCTGACTCAGTCCTCTACATCTCTCTCTCTCCTCTCTCTCCTCACTGACGTAGCTTGTTGTGACTAGTGTGTGTGTGTGTGTGTGTGTGTGTGTGTGTGTGTGTCTACCCAGTTTCCTGCGATCACACTCTCTCTCCATTCATGCGTCCTCCCTGTCATCCTTCTCTATCCCTCCTGACAATGAACCTGATCCACGGAGGAGGAGCCTCATCGCTTTGCATCATCGCTCGCCCCACGTGAAATAATAATAAACATCGTTTGTCTGTGTGGAAATGATTTGTTGATTTGTCGTGTTCGTCTGTCGATGATTATTCTTTACACTGATTTTGTTTTGTGTGACTGTGCAGCCTGTACGTCACAGCTTTGACGCTTTTATTGTGGAATTCAGTGTATCCTGCAGGACCTGGGCTCAGAGGTCAAAGGTCAGAAATCACAGACTGAAAAGTTTTATCTCCTGAGTGTGAAACGTTTTTTAGAATGAGGTCTCTAATCAGGTCTGTGTGTGCGGAGAGAGTGACGATGAGGCTCGAGACACACACACACAAACACACACAAACACAAACACACACACACACACACACACAGAGTTTTCATTATTGTTCAAACTAACTGATTTTCCAACTGAATCTTTTCTCTGTGAAAATGTCAAAATAAAATAAAGTGAATGTCTCTGATGACGCAGTGAAAAAGTTCATTAAGGTCTAAAACACAAATGTATAAAGTTTCTATAAAGAAAAACTGAACATGTGAGACTTGTTGATTCATTTCCCGTCGAGAGATGAACTGATGATTAACCTCACCTTTGTACAGTACTGAGAAGAAGACGACAGGTGTGTGTGTGTGTGTGTGTGTGTGTGTGTGTGTGCCATCTGTTGTCTCCCAATTCCTCACAATGTTTTTTCTTTTCTTTCTTTCGTCTGAACCTGGACACGTGTTCAGATCAATTATCTTGTAATCAAAACTGTGAGTGTCATCATATTACTACAACACACACACACACAGACACACACCTGGCACACTGAGCTGCAGACACAATGACTGTGTGCGACACTGGAGACTCTGTGTAACTCTGTGTTTAGTTTTCAGTCTTCACTTATTTTCACTGGATGAAACTGAATTTGAAAACGGAGCGGAGGAGTCACACGTTGTTTCGAGCGTCATCACATCAACACTTTGTTCTCACACTTCATATTTCTGTGTCGTGTCGTCAGGGGACACTTGCTCGACTCAGTTTGCAGTAAACAGCTTTGTCTCTCGGCGAAGACGCTGAGAAAACTGACGAGGACATTGAGATAAATATGGAGACAACCGACAGCGTCTCTCTGAGAGTTCAATAATAAATCCAGCTGCGGTGGAGACTCACCAGAGCTGCTCCACAGCTGACTGACCTCCAGGCGTCCAGAGCGTCTCATCACTTTTGGGAAGCGATAGAAGAATCCAGACACTCTCCTCAAAGTTCTACCAAAGGTTTTGGCAAAGCCCATCGCTAACACACACACACACACACACACACACACACACACACACTGCGTGGAGTGTGAATCCAGATGTTGGTGTAAAATCCAGAGGTGAATCTGATGTAAATCCACAAACTCAACAAAATCCTCCTTCACTGTCCATGATGCTTCTGTGTGTGTGTGTGTGTGTGTGTGTGTGTGCTCAGACCCACTCTGGTCCCTCCCCTCACTGACCCCCCATCTGTGTGTGTGTGTGAGAGAGAGAGAGGGATGGGGAGTGTGTGTGTGTGTGTGTGTGTGTGTGTGTGTGTGTGTGTGTGTGTGTGTGTTCCATTAGCTGCCACAGGTTGAGTGTCTCCTGTCTCTTGCGGAGCCAAACTGTCACAGCGACTGAACAAACAATTGGACGACAGCTGACACACACAGACACACACACACACACACACACACACACACACACTGCTCTTTGTCCAAACCTCTGAATTCCTAAAGTCTCCAAAACAAATTAAAACAAATATTTTAAAATAAAGTCTCAAACTTCAAATCACTGTTTGAATGAGCGGCCGCAGCTTCTCCACTATGACGGGAATCGAACAAAACCATACACAGACGTACTCTACTCTGTCCCACACACACACTCACAAGGGGGGGGGGCAGACTTTACTGTAGTTTTAGACAGCGTCAGTATTTCTCACTGTGGTTCATAATGAGCATCAAACCGACGGGACCGTGACCAGAGTGGAGGATGAAACCAGAACTGAGCTTCAGTTAAAAAAATGAAACTGTTCATCTTGTGTTGAATAAACCTGTGCAGGTCTTTTATTTTGAAGGACGCAGGAAAAGCTTCGGGTGTAAATAATAAAATGCTTCATGGCTGGACTCCATTCGGCTGCTTCAGTTTCAGGGTCCTGGTGTCGTCCATGTCGGCTCAGTGTCTCTCACTCATGTTACTGACGCTGAGGACTGAACATGTGATCAGTGAACTACAGCATCTCGACGGCCTCCTCCGTGTTAGTGGACGGGACATGAACCAACGTGAAATAAATAAACAAAGACGGTTCCTCTCATTTCAGGTAGTTCTGATCTTCTTCATGTTTCTGATGAGTTTGGTTTCCATCAGTTATTTGATGATATAGAAACAGAGCTGAAACGTCATGATTGGCAGCGGAGGAAGTGGAGACGCGTCGTCCATCTTTATTTACGATCTCAAAATGTCCGAGTCATTTGCTCTGGACATTTTCCAGAGTTGCAGGAATGTGAGAATACGGCACCGTGAAATTCACGGTATTTGGCTCCAGATGAGGCCAGAGATACTTAAACTGCACGATCGGTGGATCTGCTGCAACACAAAACCGGATCGGACAAAGAGACCTCCTGCTCTCCGACGGGTTTCTGTTACTTCACCTCCCAGAGAAGAGACAAAGGACGAGAGACTCAGAGTAAGAGTGAGGGGGGGAGAGAGAGAGAGAGAGAGAGAGAGAGAGAGAGAGAGTCTCCTCTGAGCAGAAACTCACTGAACAAGGCTGAAATAACACAACTACACAACAGGTTCAACACAACGAACGAGCTGCTTGTTCACACAATCCAACAAATTAAACAAATGAATGAAGAGAATCGTATTCAAGATTCTGAAATGTTCCTGTACGGCTGAGATTTAGAAAATAACTTAATACTTAACATCGTTGTTTTAAAATACGTTTTCTTGATTTCTCAGAGAATCATTTACGGATCTTGATGAAAACTTGTTTATGTGACTGATGTTTAATGAGCGTTTGTACTTTAGAAGAGAATCGATACAGATCAGGATCCAGAAACTGCTCAGCCTCAAACTCCTGAAAAAGAAAGACAGATTCTGATGCATCTTCAAGTCTCTACGATAAAAATCAGTTCGAAAAAACCTATATTTTTAAGTAAATAACTGAACCGAACTGCTGCTGTTGCTCAACCAGCTCGTGTGTGAGCGTTCCTGTGCGTTAATAAGTGAGAGAGTGAGCGACGGAGCGTGGAGGACGATACGTTTCACCTCTGGACGTTTGTTGTTCAGGTCAAATCTCCGTTTGTCCTCTCGAGGAGCTGTTGTTGACTTTCAGATGGAGTAATGGGCCTTTAACAGGCTTCCAGAGAGGAGACGCCTTTTAAATGAGCGGAGATATCTGCACACACACACACACAAACACACACACACACACACACACACACAGTCCATCAGCTGGTGAAGCTGACAGGAAACACAGAGCTCAGTGTGCAGACTCATTGTCTGTGAACATAACGAGGTTTCAACACTAAAGTGAGAAGAGTTTGTTCTGTGACTCTCGACCTAGTTTTACTCAACAAATATGAATACATTTGGGTTTAAGTATTAAAATAGATGAAGCAGAATGAAGCAAACCATTTGTTTCATGACCACAAAGAGTCACAACGCATGCAAATACAGAGACGTGCTGCGAATAGTGAAAACGACGCCGTGAATGTTTCCAGGGGATAAACAGGTAAACAATGGGAGGAAGGAGGAGAAACTACCAAAATAAGAGTCATGAATAAGTTGATATGAATATTCAAACCGCTCCGAGCAGCGTTTCCATCCCAACTCAAACACGGGCCCCCATGGCAGCCATGTTGGCACCAACACACGAGGAAGAGGAGTCTTCTCTGTGGCTCCTGCTCGTATTGTTTGCCGGTCAGACGTGGACGAAGAGGGAGGTCCAGTTTGTGCTCGAGGAGACGCCGTCACTAGAACCGGTCCGTCCACATACCGACTGCATTCCAGCTGCTGGGCTGCGTTTCAGAGCCCAACCTACTCACGTCACTCGCAGCAGTCTAACACGTGTGTTACATGTATGTTCTCCACTTTGATCCCCGTGGTTCAGTGGGTTCTGTCAAGTCTGTACAGACGTGAAGCCTCGGGTGCAGTTTGGACTCGACAACCCAACAAACTTCCGATGAGATCAGAGAGACACCAGGGTTTTGTTTGATAAATCACTTCAGACTAAGAAGTTAATAAACTCAGTGAGTTATTTTTAAATACTTCAAACTGTACCTGACACTAAAATACTTGTATTTTATGTATTTAGCTGTTTCCAGGATCAGTAACATGTGAAACGTGTCTAACTACATCATGTGAACTCTTCATGTCAAATGTCCACACACACACAGAGGACATGAGCGGTTTGTCCTCATCTTGGACACCTGACTGTCCAGTTGTCATTTGAGGACAATAGCAGATCATGGAGGACATGAGACATGTGACTAACAGGGAAGCTCTACCTGCACAGGTGAGTCCAGGCTGGAAGATGTACTGGCAGCAGGCGTCACACCAGGTGTCCTCCGCCCCGGCCTGGAAGGTGTGTCCCTCCCCGGACTCCTGCTTCACCCTGGGGTCCCTCTCCTCGGGGGAGAAGATGGTCCTCACATCGGGGGGTCTGAAGCCCCTCTTCCGGCTCCTCGGTGGCCCTCCTCCGTGGCCCTCCGCTCCGCTCCCCGGAGCCTCCCCCTCGCAGTCTCTCCTCTCCGGTGTCTCCTCTCTCGCGCCTCTCTCGCTCCAGGCCGCCTCCAGGCTCTCCAGGCTGGCCGGCGGAGGCGACGTGTGCCGCCGGAGCGCTCGCACCACCGCCGCGCCCTTGTTGGCCTTGGAGATCCGCATCCTGGCTCCCGGCGGCGGCCACGTCGCCTCCGGTGCGTCCGCGGACTTGGAGACGTTGACGGTCTGGACGGTTAACGTGGGGTCGTCGGTGAGCGCGGGGCGCGTGGGGACGTACTTTCCCTGGTGAGCGACGTTGAACATGACGCACGCTCCCGACCGGCTGCTGCAGGTGTGTGTGTGTGTGTGTGAGGCGTCATGGTCGCGGAGGATGATCCGCGTGCGTGTCGTAGGTGAGCAAGACGAGTCGGTCCGAGGCGCGCGGAGGAACGGGTTACACCACGTTCCAGACTCCCTCTACAAAAACCAGATTTTTAACTTTCTTTCACTTCCCGCTAACCTCCCGCCCCTCGAACCCTCCACGGGAATCATTAGCCTCGTTCTCTGAAAGCAGCTTTTCAGTTCGGCATCAGTCACATGTGCGACAAACACCTTTATAATCCAACTCTGAGCTTTTCCAATGTTCCACTGCTCTGACAGCAGCCTGCTGCAGAAACACGATCACTGGACAAGTTTGGATTTCACGAATAATTGAGTCTCAGCAAAGAGGAAAAAAAACAACTTTAACATTCTGATAAATTAACAACTTTTAAACATTAAACGACTACAACTTATTTTTTTATATTTTTCATATTTATTTTCACGTAGAAAATCCACAAATACATTCAGCTTCATTCACATTTAACAAATTCAATGTATGACATTTAAATTAACAGACAGATTCAACACATCCCTCTTGTTCACTTGCTCATCTTTGTGCTGTACACTGTGATTCCACCTGCAGTGAAATTTTATTTGTATTCATTTAAATACATATATATATATATATATATATATATATATATATATATATATATATATATATATACACATATATATAAACATATATATATTTGCAGGTTGCGGAATCATAGAGTGAAAACAGTCATAAACAGAATCAACACATCCCTCACTTCATCCATGTCGTCTCCTAAATATTTCCTATTTATCATTCATGACTAAGTGCACGTGCGGGACTCAATTTGTGTAAATAAAGTGTTTTTTAAAAACTATAATTCAACATATATATGTTGATTAAAAGTCCACAGACACCAGACATTTCCCCAAAACACAAGTTACAATCATTTCTACCTAAATGAGAATCACAGTACAAAAAAATATTCTCTTCCTCGGCCTAAAGTACCTTGGAGATTTTTTTTTAGAAGTTTAGCACAAGTGAAAATAATTTATCTCACATCTCCTGATGTCGATGCGTCGTCATTCACACGTGAACGGATTTAGCAGAACAGAAAATGAAGTTTTGTTCCCTGAGAACATTTTGAACACGATGACACAAAGGATCAACTTCTGTAAACTGACTGAGCCTTTGGTGTTAGCGCCCCCTGGAGGTCCAGCACGGCAGGTTTTCACTGGACATCATCATCCACCTCCTCGTCGCTCTCAAGCGCTGCGTCCTGCACCAAAGAACCACGGGAACAAATTCAACTTCTGCTCATTTTAAACTTTTACAGGATCAAACACGTTATTTTTCAGAAGCTGGGGAACGGGTGAGTGTTTCTCACGTACGTATCCTCCGTGCTCTTGTGCCCAGGACGAGTAATATTCCTTCAGATATCTGGAGCCGTAGCCGAGCAGCCGGTTCATGGGCTGCGTGTCCATCGCTGACAGACGACTGGTGGCCTGTCGGAAACAAATTTAACATTTAAAGACCTTCACTTGATTATTACACACGTCTGTACTTTTACCGTGGAGGACATTTGCAGGTCTAATACATGTAACGGAGTATTTCTACATCGTCACCGCCGTGTTCTCACCTCACAGGCCACAGCGATCTGGGTCTTGGGCGAGGCGTGCGGACCCGGAGAGTCTGGGTCCGAGGTCCTCATGCCCATCCTCGTGAGGAGGGTCGTGATTATCCGCTTGAAGAAAGCGTAGTTCCAGAAAAGCTCTTTGGCCAACGAGAGATCTTTCAGCTCCTGGTGGAGACGAGAGCATTAAGAAAAACCAAAATAACTTTATTAACTCAACAGGTAGAAACAGATTTTATTAAAAGTGACGAGGGAACAAACACAATGGAGGAAGTTTCACTCAGATAAGATTTTAGAGCAGCTGTGAAAAGACGTCCGTCTGAGGACTGGAGACCTGAAGAGGTAAACTTTCACAGAGCAGCAGCGCCCCCTGCAGTGCAGAGCACTGAACAGTCTGTATCTTCTATTATAAACAGTCGGTATGAAAAGAACCGCTGAGTGTACGTGATGTCTCCTTTCCTAACTCCTCACAGCCTTTAAAGCTCCTGAGGAAAAATACAGGAACAGACGACATTGGAGTCGAATGGTTTTCTCACCTTCTCGTTCAGTCGGTCTCCGGTCTCTCTCAACAGGAGACCAATCAGCCGCTCCACGTCATCTGCACAACACAAGACACTGATGATTAACTCAGGGAGGAAAGAGTCCATGCAACTCATGTATATAT